AATGGTGTGATTTGAGAGCGAATGTCGACGGTGTGAATTATAGATATTACATCTTCAGTATGTAAGTACAAAGCCTGGTACAGAAAATTACTCCCTATTCACCAATATATAAATCCATCCAGTTCAGTTGAGGTGAAACTCAATTCATATTCTTCTCCAGACCTCTAAAATGATTGGAAATCACGTGCGATTTGTGCATATTTGTTCGAATTCTCGTCAAAACATGTCGATCAGAGCCTTCCAATTCAATAAATTCGTCCTCCGATGCGTGAATCTTGACGGACAGTAAGGAAAAAGGATAGCGGCTAATGGATGCCAAAGTCCCATTATATTTTCAGAGGGATTTCCACTGAATCTTTTTCACACAATTTGCTAGTCTGTGAGTTGCGGGTAGACTTTACGCATCAATCGCTTTGTGAATTTGATGCCAAAGTGCGAATATGTCATTCGGAAAGAGATTGAATACGATTATCTGCCTTTTCATGGTTCGGGTTGAAGGCAGGGATTTCCCTACACATCTTCTCGGCGCCCTGATAAGGGAAATCCCAGAGAGTACAATGAGGTCGACGATCATTTCTCATGTTAGGGTTGCGCGCACACATCATGCGAAAATGTGAATAACACTATATACGCTTCTTCGCTGGGGATACAATTATCTCTAACCCACTTTTTCAGTAATTAAATCATTTGCGTTCATTGTCTGCGGAGCGGCAGCATGAAAATCATGGCGAATATAGGGGGAAATTCTTCGATGAGCTTATATCCAAATGGGATGGAAGGAATGGAAATAGATTGAAAATAGAACATAGGAAAAGTGTGGGAAATGAATACAGCGTCATTAATGCGATTCTTAGAAACTCATCTGGGCAAACAAGACGCACACCATTCACTTAAGACAAACGAGAAGAAAGAGAATGGAAGATGAGATATTCAAGAGCAATTCACTTAGTCTCCCTTATCTTATACAGCGACATAACTACAATATGCTTGAGATAACAAGTGAATTTCGAAGAAAACTTTCTACAATTTCACCCACAAACACGGAGAAATTGTAATTTATGCAAATAGTTTCATATTGCAAGTGAGCAATATTCATAATCACAGTTGTGATAACTGCAATTACGATTACACGAAATGAAGTCTAATTAAACGCAGTTTTCCACTCATTTTGATAAAATTTGTAATAGTTTATATTAATTATAATAAAATTAAATATTATTTTCAACATTCCAATTAATGCGAGAATAATTTTCGCGTAGTTTTTGCATTTTAAAAGCATTTTTATTATATTTCACTACAATAATTCAAGTCTAATCGCTATTTTATTCTCCATTTATTTAAAATCATCCAATGATGTTGTTGAATTAGACTAAACATATGTATTTATTATCCATCAAAGCATTATAAAATTGTTCGTGCAAAGAGCATTACGCTGTATCGATCATCCCTCTTCCCTTCTCTCTCCCTCTCTCGTCTTTTCTTTTCAATTTATGCAAGAGTATGTCGGCGGATATGCGTGTGTATCTTTACGGGCCTGCGTGGATAAAATAGGATTATGCCGAAAATATGAATGACAAATGAGGAACTGGCTTTAATGCAAAAAAATATCTCATGCGAGATGTGAAATTTAGTGAAAGAGAAAATTCCGGGAGTTTCCTTTTTTATACTGTGTGTCACAGTCGCGTAATTCAATCAATTTTGAATTAAAGTCAGGACGGAAATTCTAGACATTCTTTTGGGGATAGAGATACATTTTACTCCAAAAATTTCCTTTACTTCGCTTCTTTTGATGTCTTATTCAGCGAGGAGGCTTTTATGATCTTTATTCCACATTTTTTCTCTCTCCCTGGTCGAAAAAGCAATTCCAATTTAAAGAAGAAGAGAAAAAAAACATAAATTTCTAACGCAAGTTATTCCACTGAATTGGAAAATAAATCAAACAAAGAGAGAATCCTTTCTTGGTTTCCATATAGAAGAGAATTTCACATGTGAATAACGCTCGTGATTAGAGATTGGAATGGATTTCAACCAATGTCTGTACATAAAGTTCATATGTATAATATGTACAATACGATAACAATGCGTGGTTAATCTTTCAAACATGTTAAACCATAGATTCACACTTTATTTGCCGTGGCATCGGACTCGATTGTGCATTTCATCTCTAAACAAAGCTGGCAAATTGTTAGTCCGCAGTGGCTTCTTTTATAGCCCACATAATAATAATATTTTGCAGTGGTTTAGATAAATCTCGTGGCAAATTTTGGAATACATGAACATCATATATATTTCAATTTATGTATATTCTCATCACATTCGGGGAGTGTTTATGTGCGAAAATTCACACCAAATGTTTCAATTAAATTAATCTCTGTGTCAAATCGCTTAACACTGCGAGAATTTCCCATTTTTCCGCGTGGGAGAGAATAATTTCTTTACTTAAGAGGCGCACACAGTGTATTATATTGTAACATCGGGTGCGGAGCAATTTATTTTGACCACAATGCAGCGAACGTGATGGGAATTTAAAGATTTGGCTTTACTGTATATTGCACACAGACATAATTTTGATATTAAGCGTTAACATAAAACATAAATGACACGTCTCTATGAAGTTTGATGATGTATTATAAAGATATCAAGACAACTCCATATTCATAGGGCAATATATTGGGCATTTTTCCTCGAAGAAGCGTCCCCATAAATACGCCACATACTCTCACCCACATTTATGCCCTTGATTATGATGTACAGAGAGAGGAGAGTAGTAAAGACGGAGAATACACACGCGAAGACAGGACTTTCGTGCTGATGAAACACTTCCGACCGAAAAAAAATCTCATAAATTTTGATTATTTCAGCAAATTTTTGCCAGCCTCTTCGCAATACTCAAAACATTATTGATGAAAGTTTCAGGCCGACTGTTTTCTGCCCACTTGGCACAATTCTCGCCATGACGAGATGTGCTTCGTCAGATACAACACCATCACTTCATCTTGTCAAACCGACAAAATAGTCATTACGCTTGACTGAGATGTTTTATGCATTTGTGGCAAATTAGTCTTCACATAAACAAAATAAGTATAGAGAAAAAAGTTCTCCTGACCTTACTTAGCCAACAAAAGGAGTTGAGAAAATCCATTGTAGTTTGACAATCAATTGTTTTGAGCAATTCAAATAAACACTGCAGTAATTTCCAGAACTAAAACACTTAAAAAGACATTTGCTTCACAGATGACAAAGACTGAGCATAAATGTAGAAATAATCATGATAAATGACTGAAAACTCATTGCAAATTATTGACACTGCAAAAGGATATTGAGAAAGTTTCCACCGGACAATGTTTGGCGTAAAAACTCATAAATCTCATATCAATCATCAAAGTCGAATGCTTCAGGATGCGCTGAAACTTTCTCACAAGAAATCCCGTAACATCTTATTGAACTTTCAACGTGTGATGCGAAGATTTACATATATCTCTTGAACTTTATGAATGAAACTCTTGAACTGTGTCGTTTGTGTCCGTTTGGAGACAAAAATGAAAAAAAAATCCATGTGAGCAAATCCTGCTGAATCATGAAATTTCTCATTGTCTGGAACTGTCAGTGGAAAATTTGACAGTTTTCCTTCTATTTTATTGAAGATTCTCAGTTGAATGAATTTTCTTTCCAATAAATTATTCAGAACACATTTGCTCACTGTTTGTCTTAAACACGTGCGACACACCAATCGAATCGTGAAAAGTTTCTCCTTAAGAACGGATAAATTCCGGCAGACACTTGATAATGTCGCAAACACAGTGGCAAACTTAGCACTTTGTCTTACTTAACAGAGGAGACCTATGTCCTGAGAGGAAGCATCAAGAAGAGGAAGATTGATGTCCCTCTGGCTTAGTTTTAAAGTTTAATTCAATCCTAAAGATCCCTTTCCTCGTCATTTTTCCCCCCACAGACACTCACCAAAACGGACGAAGAGCATCCCTTTCAGGCCTAAACACAGAACCCAACAGAGAAAAGAAGGCCCTAATCTCAATCAGGAGGGTTTCTCGGGATTGCGTATAAAAAGTGACTCTTTTTATTTCCAGTCACGTTTCACGATGTATCCATTGACTTAATTAATAATCCAATTCAGGTGTACAAAATACTAATTATAGTCTCATAAGGATGGGTGTCTTCGCCAAAAAAAAAGGAACAGGACGAAGGATAGGATGGATATCCGTTTGAACGTAATGGAGTTACGTGAACGTGACGAAATAACCTATTCAATTGACCTTCTTTACACAGCATTCTTCAGTCACACCATCAATCGCCACTTCACGTATTCAAATAGCACTGAACTAAATAACTATCCGAAATCTCATTTAAAAATTCCTTGCAAGTGTCGTATTGATTCGCAGTCAGTCACAAATGGTTGCAAAAGTGGTTGCAATTCTATCACTATTTCATATGAAAAGGGGAAAGAATTGCGGACATAAATCACCAGTTTACCCGGATATATTCCTCTGAAAACCACATTTTACTAAATTTTCCACTTTTTACACTTCTTCTCGCACAGAGAAAACTGTTCAATAACCCTTCGTGTGACCCTGGCGCAGAGGTAATCTGGAGAAAAAGAGTGGCAAAGATTTCTAGAGAAGGTGGTTTGAAAAGGGCAAATAGTAAGAGGATCTGAATTGAAAACCAACAAGAAGAGGATTTTTCAGGATCTGCCTTTAACACCTTCTCAACCATTTCCTTGCCACTCTTTTGCCTCTTATTCCGAAAGCACAGAAAAACTTTTTTACCAACAACACTTTTGTGGGTGACACTTTATCTCAAAATTCCATGTCTTCTCCACATAATCAGTGAGATTTCGCGGCGCGAATCTGGGGTAAAAGTGAGGAGCTTTTGAGGAGAGATTTCACGCAATACAATGTTGTCACGCGGAGAGAAGATTGAAGGAGGGAGGAAAAAAAGGCAATCACAACGAATAAAGAATGATGTGGTGATTAAAATTGTACCTCTTCTGCATTTGACGACTTGTAAATTCCATAAAGTGTTGAAGAATATTCCAAGAGTGGCATAATAATCCAATAAATCGTTATTTTATTCCAAAACATATTATGTAACGAGAAAATTCTCCGTATTTTTGTACACCATTTCACATTCAATTCCCTTTCTGCACAAATCTTTCTCACAGCACTTTCACCAAGAAGGATTTCTTCCTTCGCCTTCGATACTCTTACAAGATTCCACACAGATTTTCCCCGACGCGCCTCTGCATTCGCCTCTCCCGGTGGTGAAAAATAAATTTCCGTTACGGCAAACTCAAATGCATTGCGAAACTCGAAGCTTATAAATTGAATTACTTCCCTCGGCGCGGGCTAGAAAGATGATTCCTCCCGCGAGACACTGTTTCTCTCGAATTATTGGGAAGAAATTTCACTGAGGATGTGTGATTTTGCAGAAAAGAGGGAATACATTGGGATATTCACTGACTAAATTCTTCCGACTTTGCGCCCCAAGGTTAGTATTTAGGAACTTCTTTGCTTTCTTTATATCACTTCCAGAACATAAATTCCTACATTCTTCGTCACAATTTCAAATTTATCTCCTCACTTTTTTTGCCTATTAATCGATGTTCTTCACTTTCTCTATAACCACTTTCCGTCAAATGTATCTTCCTGAATTTTCCTCTTTCTCTCTATCTGGATGTCTTGTAACGGCGAAACCACTTTAATTATATAACCACATTAATCCCATTAAACACACGCTGCAATTTTACGCAAGAATTCTGCTTTTCTTTCCCAGTAGGAATTCTTCTTCTATACAACTGCATTGATTATAATGTACAATTTAGTATTTTATTATTTTTGGTAATTTGGTAGTTTAGATATTAGTGTACAACATACTTAAATATTTATATATAATTTATTGTTAATGAAGAAGGGAGGATTTAAAGTGTACGCGCGAGTCTCAACACAACGAACTTCTATTTGGCACTGAACTGTACTGGAAGTGAATTTCATACCTCAGTTGGTGGGTGGAAAAAAGACAGAGAAAAACCATGAGCACATTTCCCTCCTTGGGAAATATCGTGAAATCGCATGCGTCCGGTTCATCACAGACACATGAATTTCCATCGTGTTCTCTATAGCAGAAGAGATGGCGTTCTGAATCGCGTGCAAAAATATCGCTCTCTCCGCGTCGATCTTCGCTCTATCGCTCAGGATCTTATTGCCAGAGGAAGCATAAAAGTTGTGGGGTGGATTGGAAGATAACCTCTTCTTCGTTTGATTGTGGAGGAAAGAGAGAAAATGTAGTGATTTGTTCATGAAATCCAAGGGGAATTTGAAGAATGCTTTCCGGCTTCTCGTGGGACTCTTTCTACCCTCAATGAATTGCTGCCAATTGAGACAAAATCCCCCCAATTTACTTTTCAATATCCACAAAACTGACCGAAACAATTGAATTTTCTTCATTGACAAACACATTTCATTCCCTCCAACTCAATCCAATATCACAGCTTATCACACAACCTTTTATTCCATTCACTACATTTCCCATGGAAAAAAAAATCGATGAGCTTTATAGCTTCACTGGGACAATCTCCAACCCATCTAAATCTTCATCTACGACGTCAAGAATGTACCTGATTTGCATGGGTGAAGAAGAGAAGCCGAAGGTGCTTCACGAACGCAGAAATATTTATTTCGCTTGCATTTTTCATCGTGTGCTTTTGGAGTGATGCGAAAGCTCTACAAAAAACTTTCGCCAGAGAATCCAGCGATAGTCAAAGAAAATCACACAACAAGCAAACTGAAACCTCACGTTTTCAGCAATTTGCATGAATTTCACCCAATTCACCTCTAATTTCATCGAAACACCTCAAATGCAGCGAAATTGCATTATTCGCCATTGAAATATCGATAATGATAAGAATATTGCACTGAATCGATTTGCATAGTGAACAAGGATGTGTTTTTATCAGTGTCAATTTCTAATTAACCATTCAATTAACTACCATTAAGTAATTTGCAGAATTTTCAATCCAGACACTTTACAATCAAATATGTGTTTTATAATGCTGTAATTTGTTTCACAACGTGTCTGTGAAAATTAAACCAGAATAATTGCTGAAACACATTTCCCAGTCTCGATGGCACTTGCGAAATTTACTTTCCACCGCCCCAATATAAGGGCAATTTTGCCATTTTACTGTGCGGCGGACAAAAAAAATTTATCACCCAAACCTCCCCTCGAAGTCACCCACATAAGAGGCTCATCGTGATAAGAAGTCGCAAAAGAAGGTTATTGTCGAAGGCAAATTGTAGCAGTTAATTACTCAATGTATCACTCGCTGCGAAGAATAAGATGAGTAATTCAAAAATAATTACTGTCGAGGCGCTATAATTTGTCTTTCCACCCACGCAAAGAGATGAATGGGTGGTTCATGGATGGCATCTTACGGCGACGCTTCAAATTTGAGTGCTTCAACACTCACAAGCACAGCGTTAACGAGCAAATGAGGTGAACAAACCCCCGAGAAAGACTCCCCAAATATGTGACAGGGTTTCCTGTATACATACTTCGCATGGTAAAATCAAAAAAGAGATTGTCATAATCAGCAATTTTCACTCATTTTCACTTCAGTTAACTAGATGAAATTGTAGAAACTTTAATTGAAATGCTTGCCAGTGTGCAAATTACGAACATTAAGCAATGTACATTTTAAATATTTGCAAAAGTCACTGTCACGAAACCACTGAACCTCAAAAGCTCCTGCACAAGCTGTGCAATTTGCATTTGCAACTCCATTCTTTTTCCTCTTGGCAACAAGGATGTCTCTGCCACATTCCTTCTTACTTCCGACCAAATGATGCGGTGAATAAACACACAACTGAATACACGGACTGTGTTACTGAGAGATGAAATTAATTTCTCAGTTCTCATGCCAAAAATTCACGAAGAAAATTGTAATCCATTCAGAGTTCACTGAAAGAACGTCACAACTTATCGTGGATTCATTAAATAAATTTATGCAACTCTGTATTACAAATACTTCTTCCTCCAGACTCCCAGATAATATACAAAAATGAAAACATCCCATCGAGTCGTTAGATATTCCGAGAATGATTCAATTGATTCGATTGCGCTTCTGTTTGCGGGGGTGAGATTACAAATCGTGTCATAAGGTGGAAAGTGGCATGAGGCATGTTGAGCAAACAGCACAGACACGACAAAGGGAATCTTTAGTAATTTAATTGGCTTCGTTATTGTCATTTCCGTTTTGTGTCTCTGATTTCATTCCCTCACGACACACTACATATTGAGCTTAGTTTAAGACAGAAGAATGCCTCTTTCCGGCCTCTTCGACAGCCACAATCTCATCGATATTGTACCCATTTCAGCATCTTATCCACTGTGCTCTGCCAGAATGCGGAAAACACTGACAGAAGGTTGAGAGTTGAGCGAAATTTCACTATCGAGAGCACACTGAAGAGATGATTTAAAGACTTTTCCCTCTATTTCACTTCCAAAACTACCCACTGAGGCAGAAAACACAAACTTATCCAACTTTAATTTGACTCTTGAAGCTCTCGCCTGGAGTGTTTGAATATTGGTATCTCTCCTCGACAAGGGATTAACTTTGTTCAAACATTATTAGCGTGGCAGCGCCGATAGAAAAATATTAAATGTGGTAAATCTCGTGATTAGACGCTACTGAAAATAATAAAGCATCGTCTGACAGAGTCAATAACAGGGTCTTTGACGCTAAATTGACGAATTGAGGTGTATCGATTTACGCGTGAAAGTATCAAGTATGTAAACACTCAAATAAACCCCTCTTCATATATACACACCCTTTGTATGCGAGCTTACTTATATCCCTTGATAAATATGTGCATATATGGTGAGAGCACTAATTCTTCTCTGTGTGAACGTGAAATTGATTTTATCACGTAGTGAAACATCTCTTTAAAAGTTACAAGAGCGCACTGGCATCTTTTACTGCTTCATAAAATTGTAAATATTCATAAAAAGAAGTATCTCTGCATCAGACTTCTCTCTGAGAACGTCTTGAGAACACTTTACTCCACTTTCAAAGCTTACATTTAACTTTCATGCCTCGCGAATGGCCAAAAGATTAGGCTGAGAATGGACAAATCTGGCCAAAATTGATTTTTTTTCCGCACCTAAAATTCAAAAGCATAAACTTGCTTGAGAAAGTTTCCTTGAGTTTCTCGAGTTATTAAAATTTTGATGAATTTCAATGTCATTCTCCACAGACTGCAGAGCAATCGTAAATACTAATTTCTTCGAAATTCCCCGACAGACATCAATATTTCTCAAGTATAATGAAGAGAAGTCTTATAAGTCTTTGCCTTCAATTGATAGTCAATTTTTATAGGAAAACATTTCCTCAAATATCCATGAAATCACTGCCAAGACGACCAAGACACAGCGCAAACATCAATAATCCTTGGACAATTTAGCGAGGAGACGCACTAAAATTCTTTCAAATATGTTTCTTATTGTTCTTTAAATACAGTTCCACTCGTTAGGTTTGATTGTTTCGTCGCAATATTAGCACGACTCTAATTAATAAAGAAGTTACAAATATGAATGAGAGAATTCCGAAGGCTCACATTCTTCATGTTAAGAGATTTCTCGCTTTGAGCAAGAAGATTTGGTATATCTTGTGTGCACTATTGTCAATTCAGTGACAAAGGATAGTGGAAGATAAATATAACTCTCATTCAATTCTACAATGCGCTGTTGAACTTTTCTGTTAATGTTGCTGAAACAGCCTCAAGTTTTCACCACAATGCAACTGAGACACAAAAGTGCGACTGAAAATCTATTGTATGTCTGGTTTTGGTCACAATTCCATGTCCTTTCTTCCTCGATGTCGCAGTATTTTAAAGATTACCCACTATGAATTCACTTTATGCATGTGTTAACACTTTATCCACATCCTTTTCTGCTGAATTTATCGGAAATGCCTGAAAGTCAAGGACAATTTTCTGCATATTTCACTGCCATATGATTTAAAAGTTTCACCATCTCAAAAGCATTGCAATTCTTCCTCGCAATTACCCCTTTAATCCCGCCAGGATGAGACGCGGAAGAGTTGAAATAGTTTTGAGTGTTTGAGAGATTCTTTCTCCACCAGAAATTTTACATCAAGTTGAAGAAACTTTTCAAGTTACTTTTTGAGAAATTCCTCACTTTTTGCTACATTTATTGCACACTGCTTTCTGTTTCCCCATTCAATATTCAAGCACCTGAAGTAACTCTCTCTCTCTCTATCTGTTTAAAATCCTTCCTCTTCCACCAGAAATCGACAGGCAGAATATCAGAAACGTATTCCATTCTCAAGTGCGAAGCTGTTAAGACACTTTCAAGTCAATTGTGAAGTGAAATTTATTCCACTATGAGGATGTGTTTATTTGCTGTGAAAACAGTTTTCTATCTTTTAGCGTAATTGAATAGGAATGAAATTGTCGCGAAAACTCGTTTGCATTCTGCTAAAATCATATTCCTAGATGTTTATCTTGTGCTTTTTCAGAGAAACTTTCTGTGTTTTTTCCATTGGAAAATACACATTTTATCTGTATTATCTTATGCACTTGTTTGTAAAGATTTAAATAAATATTATTATTATTTTATCTGTATTGTTACACGCTCTGCGAAGCGAAAAACATATTGTGTTAAATTTACTCAATTCACTTTATCATCAAACACACAATCGCCGTCAAAGAGGCACCGAATCAATGCACCTTGTCACCGAAAAGCACAATCAATGAGGTTTATATTGCATAATATGTATGGCGAAAGCTCATTATTGTTTCCAGCACTTTCCGGACGCATCAATTGCCAGCCACAGAAGGAGTCAAGTCACCCGGAGCTACGATCAACACTTCCACCTATTCAGCATGGATATGTGGCACAATGGGGAGCGAATCATGTGTGGGTGTTCTCGAGCTTCACTCACGAATCACTGAACACTCATGGTTGACATCGAATGAACATCGTCCGTTGAGCGTACAATGCCGCTCTAAATCAACAATTAGAGCGGCTCCTATCCTATACAGATTGATTTAGGATTGACATAGCTCAGTGACGACCGGTGTCAGTCTCCACCTGCACATAATCTATAATGCATTCCCAATTACAATTGATTTTCGTCTGGTGAGAGCACAAGATTCGCTTGTGTGCTTGTTTGATGCGCTCTGCGGCTGTCAATTGGCTTATATGCGAAATTATCACGTATGAATTAATATCAAATTAATTGCAATAAACACTATGGAAATTCATCAAGGTTAAGTACAAGGGGCAGATATTATGATTGGAAGTGTTTAAGAATTGGAAGTGGTCAAATATATCGAATATTTGCACTGCTAAACCTTCTATTTGAACAAATTGAGGCATTTTCTACATAATTCTGATTAGAAAAATAAATTATATTGCTTTATCTAAGTTATGTGATATGATTGTGGTTGTTGATCAAAATTTCTGCACAAAAATCTAAGAAACAGTGAAATTTTCTACTATTTTCCCCCGGTTCAGGATGGCCAACAATTCTCTTTTCACGATATAAAAAAAACTTTCAGCAGGACACTTATCATAAAACTTTATATTGAGCAGCAAGACATAATCCTCAAAGGACCAGCGCGACTCTCATTACAACTCACATTAAGATACATGCCGAATTGTGGCACGTGTAGCAGTTGCGAGAAGGGCGAAAACACAGGGGGTTGAGTGAATAATAAAAACAATTCTCATTAATAGCATTTAGGGCGGAATGACATGTCCCAATATGCAAATTGCTACATTTCTCCGCATCATGATATTGTGCAATATAATTGTTTCCAATTAGAATGAGAGAAATGTGCTGTCAAACGTCACACAAAATGGAGCAATTAAATTAACATTTCAAGTGATTATTTCAGCAAACACGCTCCACATCACAGACTTGCTCACCATATCAATAAGTCATAAATCAAATTCATGAAGAGGCCAAGTAATCACATCCTCCATCGATGACAAGCATGTCAAATTATCCATACAATGCTGTATTTCCTCCTTAAATTATGACTCTGCAATTTATTTAATATTTCGCCAAGATATCGACACGGGAATCGATTATGCTTATGCTGGTAATATTTCATCGCGGAGACGCAGGGCGAAAAACAGGCCACGATACGTGATACGCTCTGGCCGAGACGAGAGGAAAATGGCTTGATTAATTGGAGGAGAGAAATTAAATATTCATTTAAATCATGGCGGAAGGCATTAAAACGCTAACTTTCGCAAAAGTATGGCCGCGCCAGAGTTTCCACCATCGTCATCGGAACTTTCCCATTGTCTCTATATATCAACATTAAAGGCACATTTTTGTATCGATTTGGCATGAGTGCAGAAATTTCTCTCGCAGCGACGATAAAACGTTCCACTTCATGTGTGCATTTCATGGGATTTTTGTGGCCAATTTATTGAACATCAAGATCAAAATTCACTCCATCGCGCCTCACGTGTGCAAAAAAGGCTCAGACCTCAAATCCATTCTCTCTCGCATAATAATTTCCGATATATATATTCACTTTCCACTGCTTTGAGCATTTATTTGGCGGATGTGTGAAGGAGAATTCACTCCCATTCTTTGCGAGAGACATTTTTTCTATGGTGATTCAATAATCATAAATTTGACTGTGTCGAAAGGGTCGCAATACAGGAAAATTAAACTGTGCAACATAAGGATTTGCCATATATAAATTTCCAATCTTACACAACCAGCCACCTTCCACCTTTTCCACCGTTGTTGTAATTCAATGAAAAGAAGGGAGATTGCGAGGCAAAAAATAGATAAATTTATTGAAAATTGTTAAGAGCGTCTGAGATACTTTCATGAGCACGGCGCACACGAAGGATGGGAAGTTGTGTATTCAATGTCGGCAACAAAGGAGAAAAAATAGAACTGTGATGGAAAAGGCATCGTAGGAAAATGGAAGAAAATAGGGCGCAAAAATTACAAAATTCACAAGACCAAGAAATGAGATAAAATCCATTCTAAGGATGAGAGTGAAAGAGGAAATCGATTCTGCCCTTTTCACCCACGTACACGCAAATTTCCTCGCATTCAGCACAGTCAGAGAAAGGAAAGAAAATGGCCCATTTAGGGGCTTGAATTGAGAGTGGCAAAATTAGATGCTTAAATAGATGTTCTCAGCACTCAAAATCAATTAGTTTTCCCCGCAGCATTGGCTGACCTCTGGACAGATCATTGGCATCTCTGCAGGCGAAATGCAATTTGTCAATGGTGAGGAATGTTGGGGTTGAGTATCGGGCGCAAGAACGCACTTCAGCCGAGTGCTTTTCCCTCTTGAAACCCTAGAGTCAGAAGTACAGCGCAAACAGCACACGAGAACACAATGTCTTTCCTCTCAAATGCCGAATTCATTCTCATGTGGAAAAGAGTGCTGGTATCGGAGGAAAAAGCGCCAAAAACTTTCTCCTTCAGGCCGCATAGAAAGAAAGAGATTTTACAGCATTTCACTCTCAAACTCCTCTCGAAAGTTCAAACAATGTTAGCGAACTTTTCGATGCCCATTTATTACGCCTCCCACCCGCCGTATAACTCACCCTAAATTGCGCAAATTCCACTCTCCACCCCCACGCTACACTTCCGACTCAATTCAGCAAAACATTCAATTGTCGGCCTCAAAGGAGATTCCGTGAGAAAATACAACAGCTTAAGCGATAAAGCTCCAATGCTTGAGAGTTACACATATGTTTATGCTGTATAAATTGACCCATTTGCAATTTTTCTCGCTGAGACTTTTCAATATTGCCGGGAAACATGTTTTCAATTTTCTGCCTGATAAATTCCTTTACATCTGGTCACAATATTTTCCAACGCTCTATATGCAGTGCATTTTTGAGCTGTATTTACATTCTGTGGCACAGCGCCAAGAGTTGCGACACACGATTTGCTATTCGTACATACATTCGCTTTTATCACTTTTTCCCTGGTAAACAAAGCTGATTCGCGGAAATTCAGGGTAAGACAAATTATGCTACAATCGACGAAGGATTCTCACAAAAGCGCCAAGTCATGGTTTCCCAGCGAAAGGATAACAAAGACACTCCAGTGAATTGATATCAATCAATTGCCAACACAGCAAAGATCAAAAGTTCCTCTGCAGATGCCAAGTGACGTGGAAAGACATCTTGATTGTCTCCAATCGAATCCATGAGCTGTGCAACCAACACAAATCGCTGCGTGATAAATGCAAAACATTTACTTACACCTATTCAGGTGCTGCCGGCAATCCAGCGATTTCTGATAGATCACCTGAGATAGAATTGAGTTTTTGCTGTCACAATTTCAATTCGCATGAATCACAGGAATGAAATTTAGGCGATAAATGTCAAGATGTCAAGATTGTTGGCCATGTTGTTCGGGATTACGTGAAAACGACTGTTGTTGCTGAATTATTTCGTCCCGCGCCAGTGTTGCAAAACTAAGAAAAATGCTTCCATCGTGACTTTCATTTTGTACGCTTTCATCATATTTTGCCGAGTCAAAAATTCATCCTCGTCTTCTGCAATATTCACAGCACGAATCGCAAAAATATTGCTATAAGGATACATATGTTATGTTTGATGTTATGGAAAGAAAAAAAAAGAACGCACAGATTCTTGACTTCATTTCATTCGTGAAATGTGAATAAAAAATCAGGAATTTTCAGTGGGAATTCATGTGTTTTTCGACACTGTGTAGCTTTTCAGCGCTGCTTTCTCAGTGAATAATAAACCATATTTTTCACGGGAAAAAGAAACACATTTTTCATATATTTGTGCTGAGAACACGAGATTCCCGTGAATAAATCCAATTATTCAATAAAACTCATCGTGTTCAGAAGATTTGCAACTACAAATTCATTGATATTCATATAAAATTCTCCATTCAAAAATATAACAAATAAGAGCTAAGAAAAACACGCAAACACTTCTCGAGTAAACCAACTTTCAAAGACACGACTTTATGTAAAATTTGTGGTTATTTCTGCGAGCAAAAATATATATGTTTGTGTGAAATGTTGTTGACAAAATGTCAGAAAAAATTAAAATGTTATTGAAATCAATATGTTAAATTGAAATTGGCTTTAAGCAAAACATTTGATTAAAAATTATTCAGTGGAGATTCCATGAATAAATTGATGCATAAATTTTATATAAATATTTAACCTAAATACGGAAATAGGAAAATTTAAGCACTTTATGCACAATATAAATCCCAACTTTTCACAAGTTTCGCAAGAAAACACCGCCGAAGTGGATCAGCAAGATTGAAAAATGCCTTTATTAAGATGAGTGATGAATGTTGCGGTTGAAAAAATGGGTGTTTATACAGAGGAGATGGATTGACTTGGAGGAGTCAGCACAATTGAAGGCAAAAATATCAATTTGGTGTGTCTCTCGCCTCATTTCACTCACACGGCCAACATTGAATTACCACTGTTGAGGGAAAATATCTCGTGGCTTTATTTATTTAGGCTCACGATGCTTTCCCTTTCTGTTGCCCCATAAATTCTTCATGAAGCATTCACGATAGCAGCAATAGAAATCAATTTGTCGAGCCTCCCGATTTCCCCGCGCGCGCCAATCGATCAGAGCCATTTGGCATGGAAGGACAACAGTGATTTGCCCCGGAGGCACCGCATAAACCCCAGAAACCACTTCATTCCCGGGGAGAGAATCAAACCCCGTCTGTTAAACTGTCCGTGGCCTCACGCGAACCATATGCCTGTTCACCAGCTTCAGTGTCACCTCGAAGCGATGCGTGAGGTCCTCCAATTTCAGGTCCGTGCTGAATTCAAAGCGCGACAGCAGATGCACCAGCACGATTTTCATCACCAAGAACGCATATTTAATCCCCATGCAGTTCCGTGGTCCGCCGCTGAAGGGGAGGAAGACGTACGGGTGCATCTTCTCCACGCGCTCCGCGGAAAAATGCTCCGGGTCGAAAGTGTGCGCATCGGGTCCCCAGAGGGATTCATTCCTGTGCATTAGCATGAATGCCAGGACAATGTTCACTCCCTGCGGTATTGTATAGTCATCTGTTGAAGAGAAGAAAGGGCGAACAAGAGAAGCTCTCGTTAGGGAATTTATAGCACAGAGAATGCCGCAAATGAAGGCGTCTCACTTAATTTGAATGGCGCGGTTACGGATCTCCCCACGAGCGGTACAACTGGGAAGAGTCGCAGAGTCTCCTGTTTGATGAAGAGAAGGAATCAGACAGCTGCACAAGCGCGAATTGTTATCAACAATGCCAGCATTACCTTTATAACTTGCTCCATGTACCGGAATTCATTGACTTCCTCATACTTAACACTATCAGGCGCCCTTCCTCCCAGAACACTGACAATCTCCTCGTGCAGTCTGGCCTGAACCTGAGAGTGCATGGCAATCATGAGCACACAATACGATACACTCAGAGCCGTTGACTCGAATCCCTGCAAAGTATCACCATCGCCGTGTTAAAGCATAAGATAAGTGCGCGCATAATTTATGTCCTCTCACGGTAAGTATGAGTGTTCCAGCTTCTGTGATGACGTCCTCCTCGGTGAATGACTTCTCACTGCAATCCGCCAAGCGCAGCAGTTGATCGATATGGACTTGCGGTGATCGATCATCATCACCTCTCTCGCGCTCCTCTCTGGCAGCATAATAGTCCGCCTTCTTCCTCTCCACCACCTTCTTCACAAAACCCAGCACCACTTTCTTGCCACTCTCCTGCAATTTGTACAGCGGACTGCGCTTGTAGAAGAAATCCAGGTGATAAAAGGGATTAAGTAATCTCCTCGCCATGCAAATCATCAAGCTGAAATGATAAATTGACTGGGATTTCTTCTCCAACCATTGATGGATGATAAATGTGCTCTTACTTATTGGCACCTTCGAGATATTCTGTATTTTGACCTTCCTGGATGTTCATCTTTGAACCCATTGTCGTTTCTGTGGGGAAGGAAGCAATTGTGAAACGTCCTGAAACGGCTCATAAAGTGCGGAAGGGTTGAAATAAAACTTTTTTCACTTACGACAAACTGTGTCCAGCGTAAAAGATTCCATGAATTTATAAAAATCCACCGCTTTAGAATTGTCTTCCGTGCACTCTTGAACGCGCTTCACGAGTTTCTTGGCGGTGTCGTTGAAAATGGGACAGAAACTCTGAAGAATGCTGACACTGAATGAGGAATTCATGAATTTCCGATGTCGCTTCCAATCGTGCACTAAAAGATACATCCCACAAAGCGTTTTACTGCACAAACGAGAGAGCTTTAACAGAGAGAGAGAGAGTGGTCAAACTCAGCGTACCTGCCATGGTTATAACTCCATCACCAAGGACTGGCGGAATAAATTGATACACGGAGCCACGTTCGAGACACTCGGGAGCATTTAGTACGGTTCTCATGTCCTCGGGCTGTGAAACGATAACGTATGGCTTTGTGCCCACCCAGAAGCGGAAGGGACTGGCAAATTTGCCAGCAACAACAGGAAGATTCCTCATGAACTCCTCGCAGCTCGTGCCAATCAATAGGTGAATGCTGCCCATGAGCGGCAGCATAAATGGTCCGGGCATTTGCAGCGACAACTTGTACACATCGCGCTTAATCCACACGTGGCCGAGAACAGAAGTCACAAGAACAGCCAGTATTATGAGCAGAAACATTTTCCACACCACACACTCTCACTTCCGGCACGAGTTTCCGCGGGAAGGCAGCACTAAAACTGACCGTTACATCTCACACGCTTTTATACTCTCATTTTCCACCTCTCAACCCCTTTTTCCGACTCCCAATTAGCATGGAGCCGTAATTGGAACAGTCTGTTTGGCTCTGATGAAAATCAAACGGTGCGTTTCGTGTTTTGAGCATCACATTTCAATCATTCCACAAATATTTCCCACGATTTTTGCAACTACAACTCGAGTTACAAATCAATCGTTCTTTTGTCTATACAATCAATTATACTACAAAACTATTGTTAACAACATATTTCCGCCGTAATTTTCATATCGAAATATTTTCTGCTTTTGATGGGCGGTTTTATATAGAAAGACTTACGAAGTTGTCGTGCAAAATGCCATCAAATTTGCCCATCAAATTGCATTAAAATGACAAATTCAATATTAAATTCGAATGAAATCTGTGGTAAATCATGCACATTGTGAATTTCAGAGTGATTTGCGGAATCACTAATATGTATATAATTTATGCGAATAACACGATGTAATATTGAAACATAATCGATCACATCCGTTGATCATAGACTACATCGCCCTTTCAATTGGAATAATTGGTGGCAAGAGACTGCGCAGAAAATAACATCTCAATTGGAGTGCAATTCATGAGAAATTCCAGATGAAACTGCACGCCTGAAGCACTTCATTGTCTGGATTGTTCAATTTTTCCATTAGCACTTCTGTGGTAAACAGTACCAGGCGTCCCCACCGCCACTCATGCCGCCATGGTCAAGGCGAAGGTGCAGCGCGAGAAGCTTCAGCATTGAATAAGAGAGATTATCGCTGCAGACTAGCTCAATAAATAAAATTCCTCCTGCAAAATAAGGCAAATTCAATTCTCTCTATGTCTTTGGGTTAATGAGAGAGAATATAGATCGTTCTCTGCCAAATTATACCCACAAATACTTCTGTCAGAGTTCATTTCGTGAACTCTCTAGAGTAAGAGAAAGGGCTAGAGATATTTGTCAGTCAAATATGTATGAAATGTGGTGAGAAAGGGTGGAAATTTCTCTGGGGTTATTTTCTTCAGCAAGATGCTCAGCATGAAAATAGCAAGTTAATAAATAAAATGAGAAAACAAGTTCTCAATTAGAGTCGGAAATATTACCAAGAAATCTCTATTCACCTTCTCCGCATTGTCTCAAAATGTGTGGAGGAGTTTAATAAATCATGAAGAACCCAGACAAAAGTTTTATCTCACCCAAAGATATTCTGCTATTTGCGACTCTGGATGGTGATCATTTTTTCGCCAAGTGAGGGGAAAGTATTCACCCTTAACACACACAAACGCCACAACACACACACACTTGTGTTGAGAGAAAGCTCATCTGGAGAAAGTCCCATTCAACCGCCACCGCCCCAGCGAAATATGACAGGCGCCCATTTTCTGTTTGTTTTGAGGATCAATACCAAACAGAACACGCGGCTGAGACAAATCTATGTGGAAGAAAGTGCGCGCCCCCCTTTCGCTCCACTCTGTCCCCGAACGCACACTATTGGAGAGCAAGAGAGTGACTAATGCTCCCCAGCATCTCGTGGCACTGTTACATAAGACACATTTCCGCAACGGAGGAGAATTTGTTGCTTTTACAGCCATCCCGAGATCCACAAGCTCGCCCCATCGCCCTTTATTCCCAGTCGAATCTCAATGAATATCAATAGACGATATACGCCATAATATATGCTGGTCTCTTTGAATAATATGCAGAACACGATTCTGAATATTACCAGAGATTATAGAGACACCATTTAACACACCCCTCGAAGTCCCCAAAGCATCTCTACAGCCTCTCTCTCTCTCCATCTCTCTCTCTCTCTGGCTCTCGCTGGATTCGAGGCACTTCTTTTCCCAACCCTCTTGCAACGGCCACAAAGTGCGTGCTTTGTAATTCACAAATTGGACATGGTTTTAAATTAATTTACCGACGTGAGAGCATGAGTGTTTTACTATCACATTTTGCATATTTCAGCTGGATGAAAGGGAATTTATATCACATTTTCATGAGTGAGTTTCGAAAAGTTCACTTTGGAACGTGGAATGCGAGGCAACAAAGAGGAGATTGCAGATTTTCAAACACTCTACACTCAATTTTCCAAGTGATGAAACTCCATAATATCCGACACACTTTGGCGTCCAGGAAATTTCTGCAATAGAAGCCAAATTCTCTGTGTTGCACACTTTGTGAGTTAAAATAATTCATTAGATTAAAATGCTGGAAATTTGAATATAAAGAGAAGGAATTTCTGCCGAGAGTATTTTTTTTCCTGTGGTGCTTAATTAATGAATTTTTTTCTTGTGGAAACAGACACTGTGAAAATTAGCAACAAAATTCCAACTATGAGCTTTTCTGCGAACTTTGCAGTTCACCATCAAAGTGACAAGGAGACACTGGAGCTTGTCATACACACAAAATACGCGCGAAAAGGAAGGCAAAACGGATTGCGGGAGAATTAAAATTGTGACATTGTAGAGTGTGATGTCCTTCATTTCACGTGAGGACAACTTTTTAGAGTACACATAATCCCTTTATCAGTGACTTTGCGCTGTCCCAGATTTGGTTACTTGACGCACACAGCCCAGCGATGTGGACACACTTGACTCTCAGGAGCAATAACAAAAGCTGTCTTTCCACGTAATTAAATTCATTAACCACCCCATCAGCGTGGAATCCTTTCCACTCTTCCTGAAGTGGGACAGAAAAGAGAGAGAGAAATCCACTCTGTGGCTTTGATTTATGTAGCTTCTGACTCAACCCTCGGCGCTTCGACTCTTTTGTGCCGCCGTGTTGTACTATTATCGCCTACAAGAGATCCTCTTCCGCCAGAGGAAAAAAACACGACGAAATAATGATGGAATAATTCATCTTCTGCCTCTCTCTTTTTCTGCCTGCACTCCTTAAGACCAAACCCAAACTGGAGGCATTGAAGTTGAGGAGCTTTAAATTCCCAATATGTCTTCCAGAATGTGACAATTCTGCAATATTGCCACCTTATCGACGATAAAATATGCATAATTTCGCATAATTGACTCTGATGTGTCCCAACAACAACAAAAAAGGGTCCCGAATTTGGGATCTTCTTCCTTTGCCATTCTGCTGAACAGTCAGAGACAAATACAAACATCGGTCGGAGGAAAAATATTGTCGCTACCGAAAGGCATTTATCTCATAAATTTACGGCAATTTCTCGGGCCACTTTTGCCATTCCTCTCTCTCCACATCCTTTCGTCCTTTTGTCCCTCCAGCACAAACTCGCATCGTTAGCGCTTAATCGTGTCTTCGTCAACTTTCACTTCTTGCGCCACAGAATGCCCCAAAAGCTCTCCGACAACTTTCTTCACCTTTTTTTCTCTCCTCGCCGGACGAATGATGAGTAATTGAGTTAATTGGTGAAATTTTCCAAGCTATTGAATTTGGACTTCTCTGCAGAAGCGCGCTTTCAACCATCTCAACTGGGCTTTATGAATTGACTTTGTGACCTTTCAACTGATATAATATTACCCGAGCTTTGTTCATTGGAAAATAATCAGCATATTTTGGACCATTTAAATGCCTAATTACAACTCCTTGTATACATTTCTTGTAATATTAAATACCTCAGCAAATCCTTTGGCATCATTTCAACCGCAAAATATAAGAAGTGAATCCTTCACCTCGACGGCGTGAGAAATGGGAATGTCAGAAGGTATACTTAAAGAGGTATTAAAAGATACTTAACGCGCGGAAAATTAATTTTGCTCCTGTTTTTCGGGGAGGGTAGAAAATAACCCAAAAGTGTGAAGCGCGTTTTGTCGCGCGGTATTTTTCAACTTCTCGTCGCACGATTCATTTTCCACACTTACGTAATACTGGAAAATTATATAGAGCATGCAGCGAATGTATGATAACTCTCGTCCTCAATTCTCTCATGCGCTTCATCACGAAAAATATATACCGCAAAAATGTGTTTTGGCTCGGTTTATGATACAATTTGGAACTCTATCCAGAGTGGTTTCGAATGGCAGTGAAATGATGAATTGATTGTAATTCCTCATTGTCCTCTGCATTTTCAATGCAATTGTCAGGCGATAAAAGGCAAAGGAAATGGAAAAGCTTATGCAAATGAAACTCAATCAAATGCATGGCGGAAATACTTTGTGAATGTTTTCGGTTTCACCATTGCACAATATACTGCATTAACTTGCATTTTAATGGTGTCATTTGAATGCAATGTCGCTCAATTGTGCTGTACTTCATTCAGTGCTGAGAATACAGGATAAATCTCTCATCGCACATCGACACACGCGCTGATGGGAAATCCTCTCAACACCCTGTAATCCATCTCAGAAGACCTGGCAGAGACCCAGAGGCGGGATTGAGCTGAGAAATGGGCAGCAGTATTCTAAATCACCGTGATGTGCCACACATGGCATTGGGTTGAGGAGGGGCAGCGATAAAATATAATACGGCGACAATAAACACGATAAATTGTCACATGTGACTATTTTGGGTACTCATTGAGACCAGCGGCGAATTCAAGTGTAAAAGAAGCCCATAACTGACATTGATGAAGAGTGGATGAATTTTCTCCAAATTCCACTCAACATACCGCAATTCCCCACAGCTTTCCGTCGCGCACTTCGCGTGAGTGAAGTGAAAAAGCTCACAAGTGAAGGCAGAAAGAAGATATTTCACCCCAAATTTCGTCACCCATTCGCATCGAATTACCCCTTTTCCCCGCATGAAAACTTTTATACCTCCGCCTCCGGACAGCATTAGCCGCAATGTTTCGAGTGGGAGAATCAAATTCTCTCTCTCTCTCAGATGTGAACCTCAGTTGCTGTACAAGAGTTTATTAAGAGATTAGGAGAAGAACATGGTGTGTATGTGTAGAAGACAATGGAGAGCTGATAGAGAGTCCGCAATCGGGGAAATTTTATCATTGTCAATGGGAAAATCTTCCTTCACGATTCCATTT